TTATATAAGGTGTTACTCCATATGGGTAAATTTATATTTTTACTAATCTCCGGTACTTTTACCATTATCTAAATTCACCAAAAAAATTAGAGTTTACATTCAATCTCTTTATATGAAAGTGATTGAAAGTAGACAAAGGTAAATAAAAGTAATTGAAGTGGTGTGTAAAAGTTCGTGAAGATGAGTGAATGTAAAAATAAAAATATCGAACGGAAAGTAATTGTGTAACACCCTCAAACACCACATTTGCATATAACATATATTTCATTACATGGAAATATAGTTTACATCACAAGGTCCCACTAGTACAAGGATTCTTATATGTACAAAATCTACATATAAAAAATTCTCAAAACAAATCATGTACTAACACATGTAATACAACATGTATCTTCAAAATAAGTCATCAAAAGCAGATCTTCAAATACAGATAATAAGTTAGGAAAATAATCACATTTTCCCTTTCCCCTTATTATCCCTGGACCCCGCCATTCCTGCATTACATATTTTTAAAACAGAAAATGAGGGTTAGGCGAGAAGGGTCTAGTGAGTAAATCCCTTCTTTGCAAACGCAGGGTGATGAACACCAAAATGTAATAAAGTAACTTTGCTCAGAAATATTTGTAATATAATCAAGTAATGCAATTCTCAATGGCATGTATAATAGAGTAAACTCAAAAACCTCAGTTCTATTAAATAAATGTATCTGCTTAAGGATCCAACATTCTCAATATGAAACAAATATTGTGACCAAGGCTTCTTAAATCACCAAACCATTCCTTTGTAAATTTTAAAGGAAAGTTTTAAGGCAATACTCGCCCTTTATAACAAACGATTTTCCCCTTCTCAATAACATCTAAATTAATATTTTTAATAAGAATAATATCTCTAATTCATCAAGTCACAAAGAAATGATGAATCAAAGTTATTAAATCCAATTAGTAATAATAATAAGAGTTATAATAATATCCACATATGACAATGTCTCCCTTATTCCAAGTACACCTCTCCTTGATATGTCATCCTTATTCCTCTATCAAAACAGGGCTACTTATCAGAACAGACAAAAGTCACCACGTCTTAAAGTACCCATTCCCAGTTCCAAGCCAGAACAGACAAAAGTCACCATGTTTGGGGGAACTACCACTTAAAACAAGTTTCGCACCAAAACAAACTTATGTCACCACGCTTGGTAGAAACAGTTTACAAAATCCAATTTCATACCAAAACAGACTTACGTCACCATGCTTGGTAGGAAGGTTTCACAAAATATAGTTTCGTACCAAAATAGACTTACGTCACCACACGCTTGGTAGAAACATTTTCCCAAATCCAGTTCCATACCAAAACAGACTTACGTCACCACGCTTGGTAGGAACTTATCTTTTTATTTAAAAAGATAAAATACCCCTTTTATAAATCCATAATTAATTCCAATAATAGACAATTTTAAATTATATAAATATATAAAATATTCAATATGGTCACCCGGATAAGTTATTCGGATATACAATCCGGACAACATTGTCCCTTCTTGTCCGACATACTAATCCGGAAAACACTTATTAAAACTAAATCGCATGACTCATGTCCGGTTTAAGGTAATCCGGACAACACATGATCGATTTAAAACTAAACCGTTCAATACGTGATCGGTTTATGACTAATCCGCACGACCTTTAAGCGATTTAAGGCTAAATCGCACAATGTTTGGTCGTATTCATACTTATCCATTCAAAACCTTTGACCGGTTTACATATTTCAAAATTCTCACTAACACCCTAAATCGCACAACACTTAAGCGATTTATGAATAAATCGGATAACTCTTATCCGGTTATAAGAGCAATCCGGACAAGCCTTGTCCGGTTTATACTTAATCCAGTCACCCCTTGTCCGAATAAAAACCTTAATTGAATAACTAATTTCTTTCCAATAGTAAGCAACATTCAACTAAAACCAGTAACAAATTTTATGCAAAAAGGGTTTAGAAATCACTCACCTTTAAGTACGAACTCAGATTTTGAAGAAGAAGAATACAAGTCAAAATGCTTTATCCGGACAACCTTCACTGATTCTCCCAAAACTTTCCGAATGAAGCAAAGAAACTTCACTAAACACCCAAAACCCTTATTTATACTTTCCAAAAATGGAAAGTCGGCTACCAGCCTTACCCACATACATGAATACACAATTTACCCATGCATACATGATTTCATGCACACACATGCATAGGCATAATATATATATATATATATATATATATTTTATCATATTATGCATATATCCTTATGCATAAAATACACATACTCAAGTATTCGATCCATGTAAACATGTATCCATAAATAATTAATTCACATAATAAATACCTTGGGTAATAATCAGGACCCGGTTATCACAAATTGAAGGTCCGAATTCATGATATTACTGATAATTTGATACCAAATTTATATCAAATGACCATCTTACCTTGGATTTAGAATTGAATTTAAAAAAAATTCTTAAAAAAAATTAATATAATATTCAAAGTTAGATTAAAAAAAAAGATCATCTCAAYTTTAAATAAAATATTAAAATTAATAGAGTAAAATTTATGCAATACAATTTACATGAATCAACCCCACCCCTCATATTTTTATTTTTTCATAGCATTTCTCTTTTTGAAATATAGTTATTTTTATTAAAATTTGTTTATTTATTTATTCACAACTGTTTCAAAATATTACGAAATATTTATATATATGATTTTAAATAAAATACACTATAATTTTCACACACATAAATATTATTAGTTATATTTTACGTCTAAATGTATAATTGGACTTAATTTTAATTTGTATATGTAGCAATGCTTTAAATTAAATATTGTACATCTTTTTAGTGAAAGAATAGGTCAATTTTTGTGTCATCATCCTTACCCATAACTTAACCATTAAATTAATACTAGAAAAGTCAAACATTAACCAAACCATTTGTGTATAAATAACCATTCCGGTTTCTACAAACTTCAACACCAAATACCATCAACCTTTCACAAATCTAGCTATTTACATTGCAAGATGGCATCAACATGTGAGCAAGTTGAGCAAGGTATTATTCATATATTTTTCTATCAAAACCAAATCTATATGCATGTATATAGATGTATATATGCATATATGTACGTATGTATGTTTGTATTTGTATTATATATGCTTTATAACTTAGTCTTACCATGTGTTTGTAGGCAAAACTTCATGGCCGGAGCTTGTTGGAGAGACGGGAGAATGTGCCGCAACCATAATAAAGAATGAAAATCCATTGGTTACTACACGAATTAGAGCAGTAGGAACCATCATTCCTATGATTTATATTTGTGATAGGGTTCTTATATGGATAAATGATGAGAGGATTACTTCATAAGTACCCATACGACTAGGTGACAGTGTCAAGTTTGAGATGTGGCTACAAACTACAATTTTGACCATCACCAAAATATCTGGATAGCCATAAAGAACCGACCCTCAAATCACCCATGTACTAAGAGAGCCTATAAACAAATAAGATGTTGTGTATCATTCTTGATACCTACATTTATCATAAGAAAAATGACCTTAAGAGAAGGTTTTGTTTTGTACTTAAAAGTTTCAAAAGCTTTTTTAAAGGTTTCAGAGAAAACTTTTCAATTCCGTCAAAACACTTCTCTATATAAGGATAGGTAAAGGCTTTAAGAAGGGATTTGAAAGGGTGTGTGTTTGTTACTTTTAGAGACAGTTTTTTGGGGTTTTAGATAGATAGGCTTTAAAAGTTTCTCTAAAGGTTAGTCAATTTATCTCAAAAACTTCTCTAAAAATACTTTTCAGTGATGCTTTTCAAGTATTTGTGACCGTTTATGAAAGTTACTAAAAGATACTCCTACACTTTTTAAAATGTTTCTCTAAAGGTGCCATTATTTAGTTACACTTTCAAAACCTTCTATAAAAGTTAACTTTAGATACACAAACTCAAAACTTTCTCTAATAGTTATCTTTAGATACACTTTTAAAACAACAGTTCCTTCTCTAAATACTCTTAATTGCATCCAATCAGCTGCATATTTATATATAATTATATTTTAATAAAAAAATAACATTACTATTAATGAAGACCAATTTCATAAAATCCCAAAATAATTAAAGTTCATAGATTTGTCATATAGAAGACAAGAACTCTTTTAGGACATTAAAGTTATCCATCCAAATTTATCCAAAAAACATTCAAATCATACTATAATTTTTGATGATCTTGAACAATTACTGAAGCTAGAAAACTCGGAAGTGGTTGGCCAGATACAATCGACCTCATCATTTGACGCAATTCAGCTACTTCATTCTTCATATGAAAAATAATTCACATATGTGCCCTGAAATTAAGAAAAAAATAGTTGCAATTTATTAGGCAACTTACAGTTTAGAGATTGTCATGGTGAGATATTAGATACTGGTTAATGAACATGATAATAAGACACACATTTCATCCATGTTCATAAGAATAGTTACTGCTAGAACTATCGTTATGCATATAATTCTCGAAACTCATGCCGACAAACTTAATGTGATTCTCTTCCAATCATAAGTTGCATATCACAATCATCCTTAAAACTTGCAAGTTACAATCATTCACCATGTTTACCATGTCTAAGTTAATGTACCTCAAAGTGTAAATAGACATATATCAAAGGATGAGACTCTTGGTCCTACAACAAGTAGGGTCTAAGCATGCACATTTAGCGTATAAGCACAACCAATGACTACCCAAGCATGATCCGTAGATACCAGTTCACCAAATAATACAAGTATACTACTTTAATGAACTTTATAAGCAATAAGAAAAAAATTACCAAATCAATGATATGCACATTGTTGCTTATTTCAACTCAAATAGTAGGGAAATGGAACTCACAGATTCAACAAACTCGTCAACAATATCAATGGTTCAGCTATGTATGTAGTTCAGACATCAGGGCATCTAGTTCCTTTTTTGACTCTGCAAATCGTTCTTAGTCAAATGTGCCCACCAGGAAGACAACAACATCCACCTAAATTTGCAAAAACATTAGATTTGAAAGATATTAAACAAAATGAAATCCAAAACTATGTAAATGAAGTTTAAAAGATCAATGAGATGCTAAAAGAATGATAACACCAAACCAAGAAACACAAAGAAATGTGATAAATAATGTCATGGTAACTTGTTTAATCTAGCACATTAGAATTATAGCACACTTCAGGTTAATAAAAAAACAATACCATGAACAAAGTGTTATCAATCTGCAGCTCAATCCTAGGTATATTATCCAACCACATAGGAAAACCTCTAAAAGATTATTGAAAACAAAATATTGTTAATAAAAAGTTATATATCATAGCATGGAATAACCAAAGTAATTAATTTGTATCTAAAGGCAAATGGACATTGTTGCATTTGAATTATAACCTATATATATATATATAAGTACCCATAATTCCATTCGGCACAAACATGTGGCCCCATACAAAGAACAACATAAAGCCCGTCATCATGAATGGTTTTAACAAGTCAGATAAGATCCAAGTTGCCAGAAAAATCGTACTCACAAGGAAGAGGCTCATGAGCCTTACAAAAAACATAAGTTTAATAGCATCAACATTACCCTCTTTTGCTTTCCTAATTTATTCAGACCACGTCTACAAACTAATATAATCAAGAAACTATAAATATTCACTAATAGTTTGGAATTAAAATTTGAATGCTATTAATTTATTACCTCAGAAGTATTGCGAGGGTAGTGAATAGAACCAGAGATGATGATTCGACGTTGGCCATCGATGGTGATTGCTCGCGCATCATTGGATACTTTTATCAATTGATAGACTTTAAAGCCATGCCTCTTCAAGAGCCGAATAGACTTTTATCAATAGTTGACATTACAATCTCGCGGACCACAAAAGAGGCTTGACACTCCAATAAAATTCATTTACTGGATAATCACAACGAAAAAGATAGATATATGAAGCATGTCTTTATGAACATAATTTATAAAACAGAGAAATGTATTGCAACAGTTGAAAAGTGAACCAAGTGGATGTAAATATGTTTGGACTAAAAACTAGAAGGCTAATTTTGTATGAATCTAATCGAGCTCATCAAGTTTTGTTTCAAACTCAACACTTCAAGGAGTCAAATGAGCAAGGTTTGTTCTCAAAGGGGATAAGATCAATTTGTTATGACGGTATTGAAGATATACAGCCATAATATTTTGAGAATTTCTCTTCCATTTAAGCATAAAAATAGTTCGAGGAGTTAAATATAGGTTTCAGAATAAGTGTTTGACTTCTTTGTCTTCCTAAAAATGTGGTAATCTTCATTAATTATATACATAGAGCAACAAGAAAATGTCTTTAATTAGGGGCAAAAATGCAAGTTTGAGCACTCATCCTTTTTGTTATATTGAAAAATATTCTAAAAAAATCTGCAAGTCTGATTCGGCCATGATCAAATATCCTAATTCATTCGTAGAAGGAAATTTTACCAAATTAAGCGAACTCCGAATTGATTGCAATGAATCAGTCGTAAATTGTAATGCAACCAGAGCCTCCGATCTCAAATCAGTCGATCATGTAACCAAAACAAAGTATAAACATAAATTCCTACTTGATTGCAATGAATCATCAAAATGAAGATGTTAAGACAAACTCAAAGTCGCATACTGTAATCGATGAATCCTCAAGCCCTAAATTGAAAATTTGAAGAGAAATCTTAGAACTCGTAGAGGCGGTACGATTGATTTTACATTGTTCGATTATTGAAAATTGGAAGAGAAGTCGTATGAACTCACACAGACTCTCATTCGTGACTCTCGTATGCACATGTACGCTCCTTTTGATTTCTAATTATATTTTTCTATAAATTAATTTATTGAAAATAAAAAGCCTTTAGATACACTTTTAGAATTATTAAAGTGTAACTAGAACCTTTTATTTAATTTAATTTAAAAATAAAAATACTTTATTTTTTAGAGACGATTTAGACAATGTTTCTAAAGTTTTTGATTTGGATTTCAAAAATGCTTTATGTACGAAGCATCTCTAAAATCTTTAGCGACAATTTTCATATTATATTACTTGGTTTAAAAATTTTCTCACAAAGTCACCTTACTTTTTGTTACACTTTTCACTTTTGTCATGCAGTTCCATACCTAAAGGTCACCTTTAGATACACTTTCAGATTCCTCTCTAAAACCCTTTTCCCTTGTAGTGTAAATTGATTCGAGATCTCACTATCAAACCTCTAGACCCGAAAAGGTAATTGACAAGAGTTGGTTGATTAGCAGATGGAAGTGACGACTTTAAGGGTAAGAAATTTCTCATGGTAACGTGAGTAGCGAAAGAAACAACTAACGGAAAGCTTTAATCACTAAACAAAATCCCAACAATTTATATACAAAAACAAAGGCAAACATCAAACATTTTATTATAAAGAAATTGCAAGAAGATGCATCTTAATTCTAAATACACACTTTGTTATTTTAAGGTACAAACTTATATTAAATAAGTAAACGAAAATATGATGTTTGGTAAAGTTTTTTCGACTAGCCAACTGTAGGCGTAAGGATGATGATCCCATTCTCGTTTACCCATATAAGAACCCTATCACAGATATATATCTCAGGAATGATCGTTCCTTCTGCAATAATCTGTGCATTAACCAACGAATTTTCTCTTTCTATAGTGGCTACGGCGCATTTTCCTTCCTCCCCAACTAGCTCCGGCCATGAAGTTTTTCCTACAAAAACACAATAATAAATCCTGATTAATTAATAATAAATTTTAAAGTTACAAATGGCATAAGTCGTAATGTGGCTATGAAGTTAAGCCTCAAGTCTTAGTATCCACTGCGAGATCACAACATTTTAAATGAGTGACTTATGCAAATTCGATATCATATATTATATATATATACACACACACATATATTTTTTATTATTATTCAAAGAGTCAACGATTTTAAACAATTTTAAATTAGATTATACACTAAAATGATAAAAATAAATAAATATCACATTACAACACCGCACATTAAGATAAAACTTGTCAATGACTTAATGTAACATCAGTCTTGAGCTACAACCGTTACCACGATCAGCCTTTTAAAACAATATTAAATTTACCGAAGAACAACACTATCTAAAATTCACATGCGAATAGGATTTAAATATGTATTATTTGATTATTACCAATCCTATCCAAAATACTTTTCAATTAAGACAAGATATTTTCTATTTCGACTTCAATTTAAACATCAAACACACAACCCTCAATCTTAAAATCGACATCCTTGTATTTAAATTTTGTATACAATAATAATTGATAAATGTATAATAAATATTAGAGTAAAGTACAAATTTGGTCCCTATGGTTTATCTAAAATAACGCCTTTCATCCCTACAAGCTGCAATTTTGAAATTACAAAAAGAGCAAATTAAATGATTTGCTAAAACATTCAGATTTGATCCCTCCCTCAAAAACCACATGGACCAAAATCATAAAACCGATTTTGATCAGGTAAAAGACAAATTGATAAAACCAAAATCATAAAACCGATTTTAACGACCAATTACAGGTTGGACCAAATCCAGACATTTTTACAAACCATGATGGTTATCTTGTAATTTTAAAACTACAGGAATGGAAAAAATGCGTATTTCCGATACACCACAAGATCCAAATTCGTAGTTTACTCTAAATATTATAAATATGAAAAAAAAAAAAAAAAAAAAACACCAAAAGGCATACCTTGCTGGACTTGTTCACATATTGAAGTCATCTCGTTTTTGTGGTGGATTCGTGTATGGTTTATTTGGTTGGAAGTGTAAAAAGGGTTATTTATACTTTTCTTTTTATTTATTTAATAATAATTATTATTTTTGGATAAGAATGTTGACTCCAAATCAAAGGTTGCCTAATTTCTGTATGGGTTGGCATGCAGTTGTTCAACAAGGAAAGCCATCTACAACTTGATCCAGTTTTTTGAATTAATTGTTGTAAATACAAGTTGTTCAAACAATTCCAAAGTCGAATAATCAATCAGATATGTTTAAATGTTCTAATAGATTGTTTTATACGACTTAAGTTTGTAGGACCAAATGATAAAGCGTTAATATTTAAGAGTGTTGCAATAAACTTATAGTACGTTTTTAGACGTCTTAACAAGCTTTTTAGAACATTTTAAAACAAGACATTGTATTAGTTATTTTATAGAATACTATTTGAAAAGATATTTTTATAAAAAAACAAGTGTCATATAAAAATATGTGTTTATAAGACAATTATGAAAAAATGTCATATCAAATAACTAATACGAAACTTTATTTTAAAAATGGCCTTAAAAACTTATTAAAACATCCACAAACATACTATAAACTTATAACAACACTTTCAGATAAGTATTATTTGGTCCACAAATAAGCTTGTTTTGACTTTTTGTTGGGCGCATATGCCCCCTACCCCTTATACTTGCATCCGCCCATGACGACTTGTATAGTTTGGTATATGTGTGTATATTGTTAATCAGTCGTGGTTGTTCCCTCAGGAGCCAGTCCGCCGTTGCCGCCACCATACGTCGCTGATAAGAATGATGACTGTAAATCAAAAATATCGTAATTTCAGTATTTTAAAATAAAAAATAAGTTAGGTGTATACTTTTGTTCATCGATTCACAATGCGTACATCTTTGACTTTCAACATGACTTCCATTTTTCTGTTAAGATGATAGATGATAAGGGTTTTTTTTAATCAAAATGAAAACTCTATTTTTGTGTTTTTATAACTCAATGTAGAATATTTAAGTAAATCATGTATGGCGTAGGGTTGTTTGTTTACCTTTTAATAGTTCAATTAAGAGGCAATCTCTGAATCATTAAGAAATGAATTTTGTTTGGTAAAAAAAAATATGTTTCTTAATGTTTCTAAAACCTTCTGAACGATTTTGTATCATGAGTCTTCCTTAACCATTAAGCACTCTAATTTCATTGTAAAAATTATTAAACAATAATATTTCATTTGCACTCTATCATGAGAGATTCTTAATCATTCTGACCACTTAATCATTTTGCACCAAATCATTCAACAACTATCAACCAGCCCCTTACATAACATCCACAAAGATTGTTTTGACCAGCCATTCCACACGAAAGCATCATGATCTTGGTCTCGTTTACGAGTCTCCCACATCCTTCTAGACGTGCTTGTAGATCACATGTAATTCACACTAGCTCTTGATGTGATTTGATCGTTCTCGTATTTCTAGAAGGTGGTTGTTTTTTCGTTTCATATGTGAATAATTAAAATATTTATCTGAAAATGTATATATAAACCGACGTTACAGATTATTCATATAAATCAACGTTTGCATATATGACTAGAATTTTTCGGTATTCATTATCATTAATCTTTTCTTTTTCTTTTTGTCACCGTATTTATTTATTTTTTATTTCAACATTGCATTTATCATCTAATTGGCTTAGGTTTGACAAATAAATAAGCCTACTTTTTCTTGACTTTTGGAATTTCGACACGTGTTTGATACTATCTTAGTGACATCAACCCGATGTTGTTTTCCTAATTAAATCTTTTATTCATGGCGGATTTGGTTATACGTTATTGAAAATTAAAAAGGTATTCGTATAATTAAACCAGATACATCTTGATTATAATGTTTTGTTTTATTAGTCTCTGTTGATATAATATAATTATGTGGTTGAGAAAAATAATGTTTTTACTTTTAAATACAAATAAATTCGAATATATCATAAAAAATTTAAAAAATATATCGATATTAATATTAAGGGGCTGTTTACCAAACATTTACCCGGTAAATACTTACCGATAAAATTCAATACTATTATTTACTTATTAGGTAAGATTTTAGTAAAAAAAAAAAACTTTTTATGCAACAATTTACCCAGTAAGAGCTGACCGTGGTAAGAGTCATTGTTCTCACTTACCGGGTAAGATTCTCAGTTCTCGTCTCGTTCTTACCGAGTAAGATTTTTGGTCATTACCATGTTCATTCGGTAAGGTAATATAACTTAATAAGCGTTTACCCAAGTAAGCATTTGGTAAACGGCCTCTAAGTTAACTGTTTAAAAGTTTATTTTTTTTTACAATTTCTTTAATTCAATTTTTTATTATAATTTAATTTAAGTCTGATAATAAAGTAATTTATTTTTGGCTAACAATATAATTTTTATAAAAATAATGATTCTACTAGAACTCAATGATTATCCTAATTATATTTTTAAATTTTTTATATTCAAAATAAAATGTTTATTCTATATTTCATTACTTTTATCTGCAATTAGTTATACGAATTAAAAAATGAAGGATTAATAAGTTGTACTTACGCACAATTTATTTGTAATTTTAAATTTTAAGTAATATGTATTAATAAACAGTGCTCCATGTATAAAAAATGGTTTTTAAGAGTTTTTGTCAAACGTTTTATAATCTAATTAGAAGGGTACTCGCACAATGCAGCGAGATAATCTCAATTTTAATGTTTCATTTTTCTTTTGTCTCGGTCGATGTTATAGAAAATAGAAAAAAAACATTGATATTAGTACCAAAATGACTTTAAAATTTCTTCTTTTTTGTGTATTTATTTAATTCATTTTTCTGGTTTAATAATATAACTTTTATAAAAATAATAATTAAATATTTTGTTAGAACTCAATGATTATCCTAATTATATTTTTAATTTTTTTATTTAAAATAAGATGTTTATTTTCTATTTGATTATGTTTATCTGCAGTTAGTTACACGAATTCAAATATAAAGCTTTAATAAGTTGTACTTATATAAAATTTATTTGTAATCTTGATTTTAAGTAATATGCATTAATAAACGGTACCTCATGCATAAAAAATGGTTTTTAAGAGTTTTTTTGTCAAATGATTTATAATCTATACTATCTTATAAAACATTTGGCTAAAACTCTTAAAAACTCTTAAAACTCTTAAAAACTCTTAAACTCGTTCATYCCTAAACGATTTCATCCCTATCCGATTTCATCTCATATCTGAATTCGTGTAACTAACTGCAGATAAACACAATAAAATACAAGATAAACATCTCATTTTAAATATAAAAAATTTAAAATATAGTATAATCATTAAATTCTAACAGAATACTTAATTATTATCTTTATAAAATTT